GAGAGGGGGTGAAGGGGAAGGAGAGAGGGAGAGAGAGAGGGAGAGGGTGAGTAGGTGAGAGGGAGAGTGGGCGAGAGGAAGAGTGGAAAAAGGTGTAACGTGGGACAAAGACCCTTGTCCCCGTTACGAATCGCGCGGCGACGACGATCGGTCTCCGCGCGATCAAACATCGCCGCTACCATCCCCGCACCGCAACGACCATCAGTGCTGCAGCAACTAGGCCCGAGCGCCGAAAGATGACGAGCAATCGCTCGCCCACTCGGGAAAAATCGGGATTAAGACACGAAAAGGGGTAATCCCAAAATCCGCATGCGCAAATTTCGCGGAAATTTAGGGGGGATAACCCTTTCCGCGCTCGACTCTCGATTTTAAAGGTATATAACCCTTTCTCTCGCCAAGATCGAGAGAGTCGTCGTCTCGAGCGAGACAGTCTTCCGAGCAGAGCTCCCTGACGAAAAGAGGCATCCGACGAGAAGACCGACGACCAGGATCAGTAAGCGAACGGAGAGTCCGGGAAGCACGGCAGAACGCCGCTGAGTAATTTCTCCAAGTACCGTACCGCATCACCGGGGGGGGAATATTACAAGACCCGGCTCCACGCGCGAAGCGGACGCTTAACGTTCCACCGATACGATCCACCTGGATCCGACTTAGAATAAGTTTTCTGTTTCCGAGAGAACGGCAGCAGTTAGCCACCGTTCCGCGAATTTCTAAGTGCTCGTCCATCGACGTTAGGCAGCAGTTAGCCGCTGCGCCGACTTAGAATAAGGTTTCTGTTTTTGAGAGAACGGCAGCAGTTAGCCACCGTCTCGTAATTTCTAAGCGCTTATCCGTCCGAGCGAATATCATCAGGGATCGTATAAGTCGAGAAAATCCGGTGTACTGGAAAAATATTATTATTTACTGACATCTCTTTCGAACGTACTAATACTGACGATTTATCACCAGCGAGTTTGTTTCTAAACAATCAAAGTGACCGAGTGTTATCCCGGATCTTATAATTCGAGCAATTCAGAGGTCAGCACAAGAATATTATTATTTATCGGCGTCTCTCTCGAACCGAATAATACCGCATTATCGTTAAGGCTCCGGGCGTGAGTCATTTGCGACAATTATAAGATCCCTGGGAGTATTGGTCAGAAGGCGTGTGTTCGTCATTAGCAACGCTGCTCCTATAGCAATTTATTTAGTATTATTCAGCAATACGTTATTGATATCCGCGGTCGCGACTCTGGTATGACACTTATCAGAGTCACCTGAGGCCTGCTCAAAAGTTCCGGACGCGAGCTGTTTACAACATAGAAAAGCCTACCAGATATTGCTAAGAGCCCGGGACGCGAGTCGTTCGCATCTATCCGATGCGAATGTACTTGGTGCAACGCACAGCCGGTTAAGAGTGTAACTGGCCCATCGGTAACATTTTATGATAATTATTTCCGAACGAGAGCAGGCAGATGCGGCGCTCATAAATTGTCTCGTTTGTTTTTCTATCATCGTTGCAAGTTACCAGGAACCGCGTGCATCTATTGTTCTCGTCAGGCGAAGAGCGGCCGACCCTCGTTACCCGTTGACAGATCTCGAGCACGTTGTCGGTCGAAAATCCGCGGCCCGAAAATTTGTAAACACTTCTCGGTGCGAATTCGAAGCTGCTTCACGAAATTTAGCGAGGCCGCCGGCGCGAGCCGTAACAGATAGCCGTTTCTTACGCGGACAAGTGTATAATGAATAAGGAGTGTACAAAAACAAAAAGAACCCGAATAAATCGGCAGTGAGGCCGAGTGAGAGGCCAGTTTCACGCCACTCCTCAAGAAGAGTGAAATTAAGCGTTCCAATCAATTGATCCTACCTCGCAATCCCGCAGCGAACAACCGTTCGTCGGTCCGCGGCAAGAGAGCACGGTCGATAGCGGGAGGCCGAGACGAACCGTACCGAGACCTCCAACCCGCGACTCGTCAACCTCGCGAGGATGGAGCGCGGGGTGACGAGCGGCGGGAGGGCGGAGCGTTACAAGGAAGAGAGAGCGAGAAGGCGAGGGAGAGGGAAAGAGAGTGAGAGGGTGAGGGGGAAGTAGATGGTGAGGAGGAGAGGGTGAGAGGAAGGGGAGAGGGAGATTGAGAGGCAGAGTGTGAGAATGGAGAGGAGGGAGGAAGAGAGAGGTAGTGAGAGAGCGAGAGAGGGGAAGGGGAGGGAGAGAGGGAGTGAGGAGGAGGGGAAGGATGGGTGAGGTATGGAAGGGGTGGTAGAGGGAGGGGGAATAGGAGGGGAGGGAATGAGATGGCGAGGAAGAGGGGGAGAGGGGATAGTGAGGGGGAGATGGGAGGTAGGGATAGGGGGAAGGAAAGGAGGAGGGAGAGGGAGAGAGAGAAGGTATATATTGTTGCGCGTGTCCGTCTCGTGTGTACCGGGTCCGCGAAATGAACTGACACAGGATTAGAGAAAAAGAACTCCGCTTTACTTCTAATATATACAGACTCACGAATATCCTCTCGTCTTAACAATATTAAAAAGAAACGTCTAGGTCACGTCTGTTCGCCGCGGCTCGTGATAGACTCTACTGCTGTTGTTTTTCAACAAACTCCCGTCATCCAGATAAACATCCTTCAACTGTCAAAATCCATATGCCTAAGGCTCGCGGACAACGGACGCTTCCATACTACTTGTGGCTCGTACACAACACTACTCCCTCTCTCTACAAATTGTCGTCCCGACAATTCTCCTGAGCAAGATCATCCTCTTCTTTGACTCCAGAGAATTCCATGGTTCTTGTTCTACCCTGAACTGCTGCTACAGGTTACCGAACTCCATGTTCTCAATCAAAAAGTTCCGAAAAATTTGACTCCTTCTTCCCAGAGCACCATTCTTATCTTCGTCCTCCAGGAAGTAAACCATTTCCAAGGCCTTTTTAAAACCGACCCGCTTTTCTTTCGCTTCCTCCTTCTCGTTCGTCTCCTCCTTAGCTCCTCTTTGGACAAGGGGGGGGACTACCGTGGGCCCAACGTTCTTTTATAGAACACCCCGTATCCCTGCCTCGGCATTCGCCCAATGCCCCACGGAAAAACCACGGTCAAAAAAACTGTGGGGGAGGCAGCCTTCTCTCTTTTCTTTCTCCCGGATGTGGTCCTCCGAAACAGCCTTCCAAAATTAAACCTTAAAGTAAAGAAAATGACAGGGTTGGGAAAGTTACTTTTTAAAAGTAACGTTACCGTTACCGTTGCTTTCGGTAAAAAGTAACTCGTTACCGTTACTCGTTACTGATCTTAAAAAATAACGCGTTACCGTTACTTGAAAGTAACGATATTTTATTTCGTTACTTTCCGTTACTTTTTTTTGTTGTAAATCCAGGATTATAAGAAAGATGCTAAGACAAGATATAAATCGGACATAAGACGATTAGAAATATATATATATATATATTTAAATATTATTATTATTTTATGTTATTAAGTATTGTACTTAATGAAAAGTTTCTTAATTAGTGGATATGAATTTAATATTTGGACATTAGTGTCTGTTGACTTTAAAAATCTTTGCCATTTATCATAGGCAGATTTCTCATTTGATGTTTGCTATTTAAAATTAAAGAAATCATCGTTATTATTGTGCTTATCAGACATCAAAAAATTTTTAATTGAAGGAATTCCTTATAAATCTTCTAAATATGTTTGCGCAAGTTTTCACTTATCTTCAGCTAACCAACTCAATTTGGGATTCAAACAGCTGGCAATTATCAATTCTTCTTTTTCGAGTGTAGTACAAAACCTAAAGTTAAATCAATAAAATTAAATATGAACATATTGATTTTTCTTTTTGATCAGATGAATGTTGTTTGATGAACATATGTATTAACCAAATTACACCAACTTACCTTTCTTTTAAACCTTTCTGTATAGCTACGGCCAATGGATGACAATATGTGAGTCCATCTTTATTGGTTCTCATTAAATCCAGCATAAAACAAAAAATGCACAGAAATTAAATACAATTAAGTTTAATTTTATAAAAATTAAGAAGTAACGATTAAAGTAACGGACGTTTTGTTACTCGTTACAAAAAAAATGTATCGCCGTTACTTTTTCGTTACTGACACCAAAAAGTAACGGCGTTACCTAATCGTTACTCAAAAGAGTAACGAGACCAGTAACGGCGTTACAAGTAACACGTTACTTCCCAACCCTGGAAAATGAACGCAAAATTTTGTTCTAAATAATTTTACCATTAAAAATTTGCAGGTCTCTAATGATTCCCTATTCCTGTCTCTCACTGAAAGAAGCTAACTTATCTGCACTACTTTATTCCTGCTCTTACTCGATTTCCTAATACAATAAACTACTTCATTCAACCGTTTCACTATTTCATAAGGTCCTTCCCAATTATTTTGTAAGTTAGGAGCTTTTCCTATTTTCCTTCGTGGGTTAAAAAACCAAACTTTCTGACCTTTTCCAAATAAACATTTTCTAGCTCCCTGATTATACGAGGGTCGTTTAATAAGTTCTTAGAAAATCCAAGAGATGGCACCCGTAGTATCGAAAATGGTTTGTTTTTAGTAAGCATCATTACTCACTAGACAGCTGTTAAAGTCTCAGTTATATTCATCACATGGTTTCATTTTTATTGTCGATTGAAGCAACAAACTTTTCTTTATTTAGAAAAATGGAAAAAAGTGAGTTTCGAGTGGTGATGAAACACTTATATTTAAAAGGCTTAACACCGAAAGAGATTAAAGCTGAGTTAGATGAAGTTCATGGCATATCTGCTCCTGTGTTTTCAACTGTTTACAATTGAGTAAATGAGTTTAAACGTGGCCGTACATCCACAAAAGATGAACATCGTTCGCAACGTCCAGTGGAAGTGACTACCCCCGAAATGATTGACAAAATCCACGATATGGTTTTGAGTGATCGACGAATCAAAGTGCGCGAAATAGTTGAGGCCTATCGCAAGGTACAGTGTTTTCAATTTTGCACGAAAAATTAGGTGTGAAAAAAATCTCGGCAAGATGGATGTCGCGCTTGCTTTCAGTGGAGAATAAACGCAATCGTGTGGTCGGCTCTGAGGCTGTTTTGGCGCTTTTCCGTCGCAATCCTGACGAGTTTCTGCGTCGATACATAACTGTGGACGAAACATGGATATACCACTACACTCCAGAGACAAAGGAACAGTCAAAACAGTGGGTTTTTGAAGACGAACGGGCTCCGAAGAAGGCGAAGACAGTGAAATCGGCCGGCAAGGTGATGGCCACGGTTTTTTGGGATGCACGCGGAATCATCTACACCGATTACTTGGAAAAAGGACAAACAATAACTGGAGAGTATTATGCGTCGTTATTGCACCGCTTGAGCGAAGAAATCAAGAAAATACGTCCTCATTTGAAAAAGAAAAAGATCCTCTTCCATCAAGACAATGCACGGGTGCACACCTGCGCAGTTTCGATGGCCAAAATTATGGAATTAAAGTTCGAATTATTACAACATCCACAGTATTCACTGGATTTGGCCCCCAGTGACTTTTTTTTTATTTCCAAACTTGAAAAAATGGCTCGGCGGACAACGGTTCACGTCTAACGAGGAGGTCATCGCCCAAACAGATGCCTATTTTGAGGACCTTCCGAAATCCTACTTTTTGGACGGCTTAAAAAAGTTGAAGAAATGCTTGGAAAGGTGTATAGAGCTAAAAGGAGATTATGTTGAAAAATAAAAAAAAATCTACCCAAAATAATTTGTTTTCCTATCTTTTTCTAAGGACTTATTGAACGACCCTCGTACCATCTTTTAATCTTTTCCGAATTTAAAGTCATTTTCTGCCTAACACTTTGATAAACTTCATCTAATTTTCCTTTTAAATCAGAAACATAATCTCTAAAGTCTATGACACAATCTTTCGGAGGAGTTCTATGAAATAAATCTAAAGGTAACCTTAAATCTCTTCCGAAATTCAATTCTGCCGGAGGCATTCCCGTTGTTCCATGTTTTGCAGATCTAAATGCTAAAAGAAATAACGGAACCCATTTATCCCAATTTTTCTGATTTTTGTCAACAAACTTGGACAAATACTGAAAAATCGTTTGATGTTGACGTTCGACTTGCCCATCAGATTGAGGATGAAGAGCTGTAGTCCTTGTCTTTCTAATTCTTAACATTTCTGAAAGTTCCTTAAATAACTGTGATCCAAAATTCCTTCCCTGATCAGTGTGCATTTCTAAAAGCACGCCGTATTTCGAAATTATCTGACTGACGAATACTTCAACTACAATGTTTGCCCTGATAATTTTTTAAAGAAAAAGCTTTAACCCATTTAGCTTTAACCAAGCTTTAACCATTTTGTAAAACAATCAACTATAACTAAAAGATACTTATTTCCTGAAGAAGTTATTGGCAATGGATCAAGTATATCCATCTGAAGTCGTTCAAAAGGAGTTCCAACATTGAAAATCCGAAGAGGAGATTTTCCTTTATCTGAAGGCTCCTTTTTGGCCACATAAATTCTGCAAGTTCTACACCAATCTTCAACATCCTTTTTATATGTTGCCCAATAAAAACGTTTTCGAATTTTCCCTAAAGTTTTATTAACACTAAAATGTCCTTCAGAAGGAGTGTCATGTGCCTCTTCCAAAATATCGTTTAACTTCCGAACGTAGAACAATAACTTGAAGAATACTTCCTTTGAGATTGAGTGCTTGCCATTTTCTATGAAGAATTCCATTCTCAACAATTAAAGTGTCTCAGTAGGATAAATAAATTGTTGAAGAAATATCTCCATTCGCCATCTCCTCCCGAGTAGGACGTCTATCGGATTCTTTTGCCAGAAGAATTGCTGAAATGCATGGATCATTAAGCTATTCCTTCCGCCAATTTGATTAAAATTTTCACTAAAACTTATTCGTGCAACTGATTCACATTCCTGATTTTTAACTTTCACTTCTATCCTAGAACAATACTTACAATTTTCTTCTGAACAAGGTCGTCTAGACAAACCGTCTGCATTCTTATGTAGCTTCCCCTTTCGATGAAGAATTTCGAAATCATACTGTTGCAGTCTTTCCATCCATTGTGCTAACTGACCTCCTAATTCTTTGAATGACATTAACCATTTCAACAATGAATGATCTGTGCTTACCAAAAATTTCCGTTCGTACAAATAGTGATGAAAACATTTGATCCACCACCATAGCTAACAATTCTCTTCGAGTCACACAATCATTCCTTTCCGTTTTATTCAAAACACGACTAAAATAAGCGATCACCTTTTCTACTGCTTCTTGAACTTGAGAAAGTACCGCAATATCATGATTCGAAGCATCGGTGTTTAAAATGAAATCTCCTTCTTCCTTTGGAAAAAGCAGAACTGGTGAAGATATCAAAACATTCTTCAGAATATTAAAAGCTGCGACGTTAATACTAAACGTCGACAAATAACTGTCGGCCCACGCGCCCCGGCCGTTCATACTCTCATAATAAAGTTGTTGGGCGCCAGGTGCGGATAGCCGCACCGATCCCCAACACAAAAAATAAATAACAGTCAGCCGCAACGCGAGAGTCCGACGGACCCGGTAGCTCTACGAGAATTATAGTCGGTAGTAGGGGAAATTCGGTCGGAAATTCGGGAACGGGTGAGAAAACACAAGAATGCGGTATTCTAAGCGGTACTGCGATTTATTCGGTCTCGATAATTAACACGCTCCGGAATCCCGTGGGCCGGTACAAATACCCGTCGCGTTATTTCCGCGGGATCAGTACTGCTTACGCGCACAATAAATTTTCGGAACGAGACACCGAAACGTCAGAGCAGGTGGACGGTCTTACAATATCGGGAACCTCCCGGCGGCGTGGTCCTGGGTGGTTGACAGTCGGCAGTCGGCGATGGTTAATTCCAGTCGGGCGGGCAGCGGGCGTCCTCTCCCTTCAGTGCTTCCGCCCTCGGTACGGTACGACCGTGGTTACTTTCAGGCAGCGATCGGGACACCCAAATCTCGCTTCTCCGTTCGAGCGGCACACACCAAATCTGTCTCCACGGAATGAGCGGTACACCAATCTCTCTCCTGCGAGCGGACAAATACTTCAATCTCTCCGAGGCCAAACGAGTCCTTTTGCCTCGAGCCCAAAAACGAATCTGTCTTCTCGGGAGGCCAATCTAATCTCTCTCTCCGTGCGAGACGAAAAACCAATCTTATTAGTGAGAGAGAAAAACGAATCTTCTCGTCTCTCGTTTTTGTGGCTTTTTTTCCTTCCGGGAATCTTTCCGCGAATTTTGTTGACAATCCGCAGAACGGATGCTCTCTCTCTCTCTCTCTCTCTCTCTCTCTCTCTCTCTCTCTCTTTCTCTCTCTCTCTCTCTCGTTCTCGGCGTCCCGTGAGCATTGCTCTCGGTCCGTCTAGCCGTTGTTTTTCGGCTAGCGGCCCATGCGTCGAGAACGTGCTCGACGGTATCTCGTTGCTTCGTCCGTGTTGTCGTTGTAGCTTGTTGAATAATATACGGCAGCGATAATCTTTATGGGATAACGATTAATTCTCTGAGACGAGACGAGAAAAGAGCGTAATCACCTGATCTGGCCGCGCCAGGCGATAAGCGACGTCCTCGGCATCCTTTCTGGTCTTCCTGTCTTGGTGGCCGGCTCGGGAGGTCCAAGGGCACAAATCTTGGGGACGCGAGACCATTGCATCTGCTCGCTCTTATCACTAGTTATGTTATAATTAACGGGAACTTTCAAATCCGACTCCCCCTTGGTCGCACGAAATGTTGTCCCTCTCCTTCCCCCTCCTCCCCCGCGTGCGGACCGGCGGTTCACACGGTCACGGGCGCCTCCACGGCTGCCACGTCACAAAACCTGACATTGAGAAGTCCAATAAAATTTTGTTCGTTCTTCTGTCAATCCGTAGAGAGGTTTTGCAATTGAAGAAAATCCTTTGACGAACTTCCTGTAATAAGAACAAAATTCTAGAAAACTTCTCACTTGCTTCTTATTCTTAGGAATTGGCCATTTTTTACCGCAGTAGTCTTCTCGGGATCTGTTGCGATTTCTTCCTGAAGAACCTATATGACCTTAGTATCTAACTTGCCTCTCAAAAAGATTATATTTTGCCGGATTGATCTTTAAATTTGAAGCTTGAAATCTTCGAAAAACTTCCCTAAGATTTTCTAACATTTCATCAAACGTCTTTCCAAAAACAATAACATTATCCAAATAAACTAAACAAGTTTTTGATAATAATTGATGATTTCAAAACTTTTTCCATAAATCATTCAAATGTCGCAGGTGTATTACATAAATCGAAAGGCATGACCGTGAATTGCCACAAATTCCCCACAGAAAAAGCAGTTTTCTCCCTATCTTCTGGACGAATCTTTATTTACCAATATCCACTTTTCATATCTAAAGTGGATAACCATTCATTTCCTGACAACTGGTCTAAAAGATTATCTATTCTAGGTAAGGGATATGAATCTTTCTTCGTAACAGAATTCAACTTCCTAAAGTCAACACAAAATTTAACTGTATCATCTTTTTTGGAATTATAACTACCGGCGAGGTCCACGGACTAGAAGATTCCTTGATTACTCCTTGCTTCTCCATTTCTCCCATAATTTTCTCTACTTTTTCGCACATTTTGAAAGGAATTCTTCTTGGAGCTTGTTTAATCGAAGTAGGATCTAACAATTGAATTTCATGTTGAACTTCAACACAATTTCCTGCTGATACTTGTCCATCGAAAATATCCCTGAATTCTTTCAAGAATTCCACAAAATCTTCTTTTTGTGAAGTTTCTAACTCCTTTGAGTTTCTCTCATAAAATTCTCCTAAGCCTTCTGGAACGCTCTCTTCTTTATTCAAAACTCGAGAACAAAAAGAATTTTCCTATTTTGTCCTACAAGACGAATTTCCAAAGAGAGATTCAAAAATTCGTTCTGCTCCTATCGCCTCAAAGAAATCCGCTTCTAATAAACACTCATCTTCTATGTCGACCACCAACATCGACATTTTTACCTCGAAACTACCTAATTGAACTTGACAATAAACTTTATTCCTAATAGGAACCTCCTCTCCTGTCGGATAAATTAACCTACACCTGTCAATTGACTCAGAGCGTTTTCTATTTCCTACTAATTCCCTATTTACTAAACAGACATCAAAGCCCGTGTCTAACTTAAATAAACATGTTCTTCTGTCTAAAGTTCCATAATAAGTGAAAAGATTCTTACTTCTACTTATTCTACTTATCTTACCACTCTTATTATTTATCTCCGTTTTTTCTTTATTTAATTCTTTAATCTTTTCCGGAGCTTTTTTTTTGAAAGCCGAACCTGCTCCGAAGAGATCGACCAGACCTAGTTTCCCCGTTGCAATACATTTTTTGGACATTCATTCCTAAAATGTCCCTTTCCTCCACAGCTCTAACATTCTCTCTCTTGCTTTCTTTTGTTTACAAAATTCTGTTTCGCTGTTCTTTTTTCAAAATTTGGAAAAGGAAATTTTCTCTGATTTTTATTTTCAAAGTTCCCCCTCCTTCCAAAACTATTATTTTCCCGCGATTCCCTTTCTTTTCCGTAAAATTCCTTCCTCCCAAAA